GAACAGCACGAGCCCAAACCCAGAGCACAGAGGGGATAAAACCCCCCATTTTCCAATTCCTACCTTGTTTAGTTTAGTGCATCATCAGGGCTTTCGAGGAATGGGCACCATTTGTGCTGCAGCTTCTCCTCAGACTTTGAGGCACTCAGTAACTTAATAATTTCATCACCAGGGTGTAAATCCAGGCTCATTTATCTACTTTAAAATATTAAGTTTTGCATTTTATCTATTCAAAGGGGTTTTGCTTGTACAGAGGGATTGTGAGGAGTAAAATCTTTGTAGGGTGCAGACGTGGCTGGGTTGGTTATTCAATTTTACTCCTTCGTTGTTCAAACTCTCAGGAGAACTCTGGACACTGTGACTGAACTAAAAGGTGTTGTTATTATTATTATTATCAATCAATAGGATTGTTCAGACCATTAAACATGCTGCACAGCATGGAATAGCTCAGCTGCAGAGTGAGGGCTTCACTGCGCTGCTGGGCAATGCTAAAACCCAGAAGTAAAGGCTCCACAAAGAATTTAAACCCAACTCAGTGGACTTGAAGGCCAATCCTTTGCAGGATTCTGTTGAGAGCTTTTACTGCTCTTTTGCTGGGGTTTGTGGCTGCAAATTTTTCAGGTTCTTGGTAGACCCTAAACTCTTAAAGCCTTGAATCACAACAATTTATCACCCATCAGGGAGCTACATAAAATATATTTTCCTTCAGAGTGACTATTCTCATAAAAAAAACTAATTTAAAAAGAAAAAAGACAATTAAGAATGTTTTTTAAAAATCTACACTACAGCCCAACTTTACAGGGATCCTTAAACCTAAAAAGTCTGACCCCCAAAAAATTAATGCCACCTGCAAGCTGTAAATACATTTATTTAATTTTTTTTCCCCCCAAGTATTTTCTTTGGCTGTTACATTCAGCTGAACAAGGCCTAAAAATTGTCAAACTAAATTCTTGTTTAAGAGTGGAGCTCTAACTACTGCCAGTTTGAGTGAAACACACAGCCAGGTTTAGGGAATATGTTTTATTTATCTTGGCTGCGGCGCGGGGTGGAACATTTTCCATCCCATCCGAAGGCAGTCAAAAAGGGGTTGAAATATTGCACAATAAAAGCCATTCATTATATCTGTCTCCTCTGCCTTCCAAAAACAGAGCTGCCTGACCAGCCCCGAATCCGGGCAGGGGGCAGGAAGATGGGAGTCAAGGGGTCACTGGAAATAAACCAAGACTAACACCAGGTTTTTCAGGCCTGGCTTAGGGAATCTGTTCCATGCCCTCACTCCCACAGCACACAGGTTTTCCTGCTCCCCCCTCCCAAGCCTGGCTAAAGTAGTTAATTGCTCTGTTATGCACAATTTACAGGAGTTAATTACTAAACTAATACATTAGGCTGCTTGTCTCGCAGTCACAGGCCCAACTCCAGCTGCTCCACTGGGACACAGGGAAACTGGACTGGACTTTGACTTGAAACATTTTGATTTTACTTCCTCACTTTAAAACCACGTTGAAGGAATACCCCACTATTTTTTATTTATTTCCAGTGCTCACCTACCTGTTGGCAGCTTGCAAATGCCGTTTGTACCCCTGCCTGTTTGTGTTCCTGTGCGTTGAAGCCATCCCTGCCATTCTTCAGGGGAATTTCCCCCTTTCTCCACCTCCTTGTCCACAGCTCTCCCAATCCTTTGCTGTTTGCTTCCCTGTCCATCACTAAAGTCTCTCCAGGTCTAAGAGTGAGAGTATTCACAGTGAAGAGGAGGAAGAGTCAAGCACAAACTTTCTAAACATTTCTGAACGACAACTGACCCTGATGAACCCACGACAGTGACATTTCTAGGCTTCAGCATTTTCTATTGCTCAGGAGTCAAAGTGGAAAAAATCAGCTGAAAATCAGATTTATTCACAATTATTTTAAAGTGAAATAAATAAAAATGGCATATACAGTTCTTGTTATTTTCCCCCTGCTTATCAGGTCAGGATGAGAAAACTTTTATTTCTTCAACTTTTATTAACTCATATGGGAGAAATTTGGTCATCTCAACCCCACTTTTATAACTTATGGGCACCTCAATTAAGGCAAAATATTGGCATAAAATAATTCCTGGGAAACATTAACACTTTCCCTTGAAAACCTCCTGGAGAATTCAGGGATAAGGACTGTTCTTTGTACCCTGAGCAAAGTGAAGCAGAGAATTTTCCAACTGTGAAATAGCTGCCAGATATCCAGCTCTGAAAATCCGTCAGCACCGCACTTCACAAAAGTGATGTGTAATTACTCTTACTTATTAACAACATCATAATTACACAGCAGCAAAACAATCAGCCTTTCCAGGCCCCAGCACTTGTCCTCCCTGCCAGTCAGAGCAGCAATTACGTGGCAAGCTGCTAAATGCAATTATTCACCAACCCACACCCAGGGCTGGCTTGTACCTGCTTGAAGTCATTTAAAGTCCACACAAATTAAAGTAGGGAAGTACTTTTAAACACAAATTCATCTTTATAAAAGCCCTCCCAAGGGAGAAGAGCTTCTCTTTGGAAGAGGAATAGCAATGCCATGGGTTTATTTAGATGCCACTAAAACACGTGGTCTGAGCTGGAGCTCAGCACATAAAAATGGGATAAAACCACTGGAATCTCCTTCAGGCAGAGCTGGAAACCAGAAGGACAAACTGAGAGTCCTCACACCTCTCTGCTGTCACACACCTAGATTTCATTTCCTACCCCCACCACGGCCACCAAGACAAGACACAGCTCCAGACAAGCTGCTGGTCATTCTGAGGGAAATGTTGATTTTGGAAAAGCAGATGTGACAATGGAATTACACTGCTGTTCCCACCCCCTGTGTGGCAGCACAGGCACCAGGGGTAGGTCCCACAGTTTCAGGAGTTTAGTGAGCTCCTGCTCCGAGGCAGAGCAGGGATTCAAGTGAGATCTGGGTGTTTTAAAGCCCCAGATGCTGCATGAGGAGCTCTCCCAGGTCCCAGCTCCACCACGGGTTCCAGCCCAGGTCTGGGCTGCTCAGAAGCCCCTCAAGAGCTCCTGCAATCTCCACAATCAGAAAACACAGGCAGAGCCTCCAGAGGCCAGCCTGGCCTATCCCTACCCCAGGAAGGATCATCTGTCATTCCTGACAGGTATTTGTTTAATCTGTTCCTGAAGGCCTGCAGTGATGGAGATTCCACACTTCCCCAGGCCCTGGGTTCCCCTGCTTGGCCATGGCTGCTGCGAGAACTTTCCCTTAATGTTTACCAGAGACCTTTTCCTCTGACTAAAACACATCTCTTGTCCTTCTCAGTGCAGATATGGAGAACAGATTAATGCCCCCCACCTCTGCACAGCTGAAGACTTGTTCAAATCCTCTCCAGATTAAGAAAACAAAATATTTTGAGGATAAATTCTATCCAGAGAAGGACAAAAGGAACTAAAAAGCACCATAAAGAAGTAGACATCTCTTGGAAAGAACTGCAACCTCTTCCTTTCTTGCAGGTTTCCTCACCCTGCCACTGCCATCAACACCCACAAATGATTCCTAACAACCCTTTCCCACCCAGCTGTGCCAGGAGGAAAATCCAAGCTTTTGTTTTCCTCTCCTTACCCTTGTTCTTCTCCCACCTCAGCTGAAGTGCACTTGGAGAGCTTCTCAGGGAACCTTGAGGGAGAGCTCCCTGTGCTCAGGGCAGCACCACACAGAGCCAGCTCTGGCAGCAGTTGGGATTAACCCCTCTTGTACCAACACATGAATTTATTGTCTCTTCCTCCAGGACAACTCTCTGATCTCACTATTGTCTGATATTCAGGGTGTGACAGCCCCAGTGTCACCAGTGCTGGGTTTGGTACCTAAAAGCTGCACAGAGAGAGCCAGACAGCTCAAGTACAACTGGACTCTGTTTAAGCACAAAGTGATTTCCAGATAATGAAACTCACACCTGATTCCAGCCCACCATCATTTCTCTTTCCCAGTTTAATTCCAGTGCACAGTTCAGTTGCTTTGTTTTGAACAGTGAAAGGAGCAGATATTTTGACTGATTTTTTAAGCTTTACATTATAACCTCAGCCAGCCTCTCAGATTTTGTCCATGATGTTCCTTTGCAGGTCCCTTCCAAGCAGAAAGCTCAGCCCAGCCTGCCCTCTCCTGGCAGCCAAGCACAGCATCCAGCCCAGGAACTCTCCCCAGTCTGCTTCCAAACCTAACCCCAAAAGCAAATCCCCAAGCCAAACATTAAGGCAACTGTTTTTGGAGGGATTTAAGACATGGAGATGTGGCACTTGGGACATGGTTTATGGGCCACAGGGCAGTGCTGGACTCTGATCTTAAAGCTCTTTTCCAACCCCAATGATTCTGTAACTCAAACAGCTTAAACAGTGGAGTTTCTTTCAAGTTGCTTTAGGAATTCTTGTCTTGGGAGAAAGAGGTATAAAAATCCAACTGCTCTGGTTTCTTTCAAGCTCTATAAAAGCAGCCAAGTACATAAAAGATTTTATCCCACATCACTCATGGTAAAAACCAGGTCACAGAAGGGACTGTGTTGGACACAAAGCCATTTCCTCCAGGCTGGCATGGGCATCCCTCTGGGCTGGAACACCCCAGGATGAAAAATGAAGGCAGCAGCAAAGCTTGGAGCAGAGCACCTGCAGTCCTCACTCTTTATTTCATTGTTCCAAGCAGAAAGTGCAAACAGGAAGGTGACAGGGGCCAGCAGGGGATGGACTCAGGACACACACAGGGCTGGGAACGGCTGCAAATGCAGCACAGCCTTCCTGGTGAGGAATACTTCTCTCCCCTCAGCCAGTTGCATTTGTCAGATGAATTTTATACAAATAAAGATCTAAAAGCTTTTTTTTTTCTTCAATGACCACCCTTTACATCAGAGCATCATTCATGAACTCTAACACTAAATCTTACTCAAAGGAACTCCACCTCTGCTCATGCCCAAAGCCTTGTCAGAAGATAGAAACATGCTCCCCACTTCTTGAGAGGAAAGAGGAGAAAGTGATTCCTTTATTCATTGCAGACAATCTCTTTTTAGTGTATTTTTGCAATCTAGAAGAAAATATAAGCAGATTTCAACAGCAATTTATAGGGAATGGTCACACACATGGGAAACAAACCCTTGGAGCAATTGTAACTGGAAGGACACATTTGACTCTGTGGTTTAGCTGCCAAAGACAAACCCACATTTATCAGGGAGAACTTTTTAATACTCTTCATTACCTGCCATAACTGTACCAGACCAATGCTCTGAGCCAGTCTGCCACACAGTTCAGATCTTCAAGCATTTAAGGCATCAAGACAAGGAAAATGAATTCTAAGTTATCCAGAAAATGAATAGGAAACAAGTGAGGAAATACAAGTGGGGAAATACAAGAAAACTGCACTTGAGAGACAACACAAGGCTCTAAGAAGCACCTTCACTTCAGAAATCCAGAGATGCCTGAAACATCTTTCAATCTTAGCTCAAGAGTTTCTGCTGCTTCCGAGTGTTTTTGGTCACTCCTGTCCTTCCTACACACAGAATTTGTGCTTCTCCTTCTCTGGGTGGGAGCCCAGGGCATTCCTTGAGCTGTGCCTTCACAGAGGCTTCTCCTCCTCCACCTCCTGCCAGGACCAGCAGCAAGAGGAGCAGAGGCCTCATTCTCCTTCCCTGGGGCTGGGAAGGGGAGGAGGTTTTGTTCCCTGTGGTGAATATTCTCAGTTCCTGCCAGGATGGATGTGCTGATGCTTCTCCTGGCTTTGGGAGCAGCTGGGAGGGGAGGCTGCTTGGGAACCTCACTGGGAAGCTGAATCCACTCAAGTCCCTTACCTGCTGCACCCTTGCTCAGCCTCATGCTGCGCCTGACCCTGACCTCAGCACTGGCGCTGCTGCTCCTGCTGCAGGCCTGCAGGGACCCCTCCTTTGCCTGGGGGACTGATAAAACTTCTTCCACATTGTAAGAGCAAACTGCAAGATCAGCCCCGGCTGTTTGCAGGTTTTCAGCAGGAGGGAAGTAGAAGGCACTGCTCCTTCTTCTTCTTCTCCTTGCTGGATCACCTCTGACAGAATCCTTTAGAGGACACTTGGCTCTCTGGGCACCCTCCTGCACATCCTGTTGTTCCAGAATTTCCAGCCCAGTTAAGAGATTTCCTTGTAATTCTTCCTTTTCTATCAAGGAACTGCTTTCTTTTGCTTCTTTTTCACACGGAGTCTCTTCACCTTGCTGAAAATGAGATGTATCCAAATCACCTTCTGCATCTGGCACAGCATTTGAAAACTGGGGAGATTAAAAAAAAAACCCTTGATTTTTTTAAATACAGGCAAGAGGTAATCCATAAAAAACTGTTTTCAAACAGCTGAACTGGCTCCTGTTCTCCTTACCACGTGAGTCTCCAAAAGCCCAACACCTGACAGGGAATCCTGCAGGCCAAACTTAGGTTGCTTGGGAAGCAGAGAATGCTGGAATAGCCAGGGATGGAAGAGATCTCAAAGACCATCCCATTCCCCCCCTGCCATGGGCCCAGGCTGCTCAGAGGCTGAGTTCTGAACGCCCAACCCCTCCTTCCAAGGATGGAGATTCCATGGCCTCCAGGCTCCCTGGTCCCCAGCTTCATCACCCCCAGTGCTTTCCCCCCAGCATCACTGTGTGCTCCCTCAGCCCAGCAGTTACCTCAGCAGCAGTGCCAGGAGCAGCCTCCAGGCTCCCTGGCACCTCAGGGTCTCCAGGCCCAGCGCTGGTGGCTGCTGCCTCCTGCAGGAGCCCAGGGCTTGGGCACACAGCAGCTGCACAGAGCCCCTTCCCACGCATCCTTCCAGCCTGGGGCTCCTGGGCACTGTCCCTGCAGGCATCCCAGCTTTTGGGATCACCCACACCTGCACCCTCTGAACAAGAGTAAACACGTGGTTAATTGACTGAGTGTACAACATCTTCTATGCTTTACAAGGAAAGCTGCATGGTAATTTACTTTGTGTATTGATTATTTTACTTATTACACTTCTTTACCTATATAAAAATAACCATCCCACATGAACAGTGGGGAACAAACCCAACACAAAGCTCTGCACATCCCTTCACTCTCCATGCCCAACTCACCAGCTTAAAGACTCTGAAAATAGCAGTACCCAAAGTAAAGAGGTGGGGTTTTTTTGTCAGATTTACACTGGAGTCCAACAAGAACTGAGTTTACCAGTTGGACATTATTAATTTATTAGATCCTCCAGACTCTGCTATTACAGAAGCAATTAAAAAATATTTTTTGTGTAACTGTTGAAATAAAGGAACAGAAAGAGCAAAGCAAAACAAAACTAAAACCCAAATTACCTGTTAGAAGTGCATCTGCCTTTGGTGAGTTTGGAGATGACACTGAAGAGAAAACCTCTGGCATTTCAGGGATAGGGCTGAGAAGGGGTTTCTTAGAAGCCATTTCTCTTTCCCCATACAAAGATTTCTTGACTTTTTTCTTTCTTCTTTTCCCATAGCTTAGGTGGGTTTTTTTCTGAAAAGATTGAGAAGGAGAATAAAGCACAGTGAAATTTTAATCATCCTCTATAATATTTTTCAGTAAGTGACCCCATTACTGGATTTTGATGGATGACAACTGTTTCCCCTAAAAGGAAGATTCCACTTCTTCTGCCAGCTACAGAATAATCTAGAAACTCAAAGGCAAAAAATAATTACTTCTCTAACATGGCTCTGCAAGAATTTGGAAAGGGAAGAACTACAAACTCATTTGTTGGCCCTCAAGTCTGAAAAGTGACACACAAACACCTCTCTCCAAAAAGCTCCTTTTGGCCTTCCAAGAATTCAAGCCCTCAAGTCAGTAAGAAAAAGGGATGGGGCAGGAAATGCAGGAAAACAAGATGGGGATGAAGAAGAAAAGATTGGCAGCAACAGGAAGACCAAAATAATCCTGGTAAGACACAAGGAGAGAGAAAAAAAATAAAAGCAGATTCAGCAACTGCAGTGGCTGGCACTCACCTGGCTCTTCCTGGGAGCAGCTGTGGTTGGATTCTTCTGTCTCTGGATCTTGCTCCTCCTTGGATTTTTCGTGTCTTTGTCGTTCTCAGTGGTTGTGGCCCCCGAGCTGCTCTGATCAGTGTCCTGTGCCATGGCCCTGCACTGCTGAGGAACAGGATTTGGGGTGCTTGGGGGCACCTGCTGCTTAGAGAAACACACCAGAGTCCAGCAGGCACAAAATCAAATGGAATGAATCTCTTATCACCTCATTAGGGGCTGGCACAACTAGAAATTAAATATTACAGACTCATTTCCCACAGTACAATCCAGTCCTGTTTGTATTATAATGAACATACAGTAAATTTTCATCTTCAGTTATTTCTTTTAAGAAAATGGGTTACTTTTTTTATATTCCTCTATTTTTTGCCTTCCCCTCCCACCAGAGCTGTCCAACACTGAAGTCTGAAAGCACTTCTTGTACAATCAATCCTGTGCCTTGAAATTCCAGCAGCCAAACATCTGACATTTTGTCAGATTATTTGGAAAAGCTCCTGGAAAATTCAACAGAAATTGTCAATTTAAAGTATCAGGCTGTATTTTTAATAAGTGGAAAATCACTTTCACTGAGAAATCTCATTTCCTCAAGGCACTAACAGGAGGTATTTCCATACACCTGGATATAGATAATCCTCCTACCTGGAGGAGGCTGGAAAAATTTTTTTAAGCATCAAGAGGGATAAAAGAACAATTCTGCCTGAAGAAGTTCAAATAAACAAAATAACTTTTATCACCAAGGAAACTCACCTTCCTTTTAGTAGAAGAACGAGTTGTTGCCACGTCAGGTTTGTCAGTCTCTGCCACTGTAAATGAAAAAAAGGAGTTTTAGTTTCAATGCAAGTTAATCACATTTTGAGGAAATTGTCTACATAATTTCTGATATTGTGCACTTCAGCCACTTTGGTCTTGAGTAGAAACTAAATCTTGAGGACTATCAAACGTGGCAAGATAAAAATTCTACCTTGCTTTACAAAATAGAGGAAAACTCAACTTGGGAGGATTTGGCAGCAATAATTAGAGCATCCAAAGCTTTCATAAATAAATATGCACAACCCACTTTCAATTCTTTTGTTGTTGGGTTGCTGTTTAAAAGTCATCAGAATTACAGGATCAGAATCAAGATTCTAAAAATAAAATTACTTTAAGCAGTAAAATTTTCTCAGAAAGATATCACAAGTTTAAATGACACCCAGTTAACCTAAAGCTCAGGTAAACATTGCAAGGAGCTTCAGAAGAAAACCTTTCAATTTAAATGCTAGCAGTCAAGTTTTAGCACAATTGAAATATATCCCCTATATTAAAAAAGTACAAACAGAAGAATAAACCAAACCCCTCAACTCTCACTTTTCAGGTTCTAAAAGATTCATTATCTACTGACAAAAGCACATGCTGGGGGTTACCTTCTGCAATTTCAACAGGTGAAGGGGCCTCTGCAGCAACAGCACCTTCCAGGAATTCTGGGAGAGGCTCAACACCTTCCTTCAAACAAAAAATGACATTTCTTAGCAATAACTACAGCAGATATTTGATGGACCTTGTCCATCAGTGTTTGTAGACAAAGTGGCAATATTTTGTTTCCTTAAAGAAAACATCTTTGCATGTATGGCAAAAAGAAACACAGCAGCAAAATGTAAGAAAAAGTAAAGGGGAAAACATTTCAAGGTTCAGAAACCTAAAACAGCTCTCCAGGCCAAAGTGCTGTTCAGAATTCCTAAAAACTCAACTTCTCAGTGAATATTTTGTTTCCTTAAAGGAAACATCTTTGCTTTGTGTGACAAAAAGAAACACAGCAGCAAAATATAAGAAAAAGTAAAGGGGAAAACATTTCAAGGTTCAGAAACCTAACACAGCTCTCCAGGCCAAAGTGCTGTTCAGAATACCTAAAAACTCAACTTCTCAGTGTGATTCTTTAACTCCAAGCAGACTCTACTTTTATATTTCAGCAATTAGTTGGCAAAACCCAGCAGGCTGGGGGGGAAACGAACCAAGGGAATGACAGGGAATAGAGAGCAACAAACTCACATCATCCCAACCAAAATCCAGGAGGGGCAAAGGCTCCTGGGAGAGGTCTGGCCTCGCCCAGGGGCTCTGCCCTTGGGGACACCCTGGGGAGGCTCCTCTGCGTAAGGGGGTGTTGGCAGGCAGGCTTTGGTCAAAGATTTCAGGGCTCAGAACTTCCCCAAAAGTCACTTTTTTCTTCTTTGGTGTTTTGGAGCTCTGACTGTCAGTTCTCTCTGTTGGAATAAAATGAAATAAACAGCTGAGTGAAGGGGAACTGGCACATAGCAAAGGCTTTGCAAGAGATTTCAATAGTCTCCTAAAAATCACCACCCAAACTATCCACAAACCATCCTTACACAGCCTGTGAGGCCAGCCAGGATTTTCACTCTGGATTTATTAAGAAATCAAGGAAGAAACAGACTAAAAGTGACTCCTGTTCCCAAGTTTCAGTTGAAAAGTGTAAGACTCTTTCAAAAATCAAGGATTCTATTAAGGTGCTCAAGGCTTTCTGAAGTTTTGGGGTGGGATTAATTTTTTTTGACAGACATGCCTTTTCTTGGCAATCCTGTTTTCCATGTCATCAGCAGGATGCCACAAGGAGGTCGTTCAGTGGTCATTAATACCAATGAGCAGACTTAGCAAAGGGGAAAAAACCTTATCCCACACAATATGTCACTTATTTTAAAAAGAAATAAAGAAAGCCAAGGGATTTTTTTCTTAGGAAAGGGAATCTGACCTGTTTGCAATATTTCAGAGGCTTTTACACAATTGGAGACTGCAGCTGGTTCATCTCCTCCTCTGTCAATGGCACTGTTTAAGTATTCCTGTCAAATTTAAGAGATACAGTTCAATAAAAATTCATTAAAATACTATCCCCTAAGCAGCATTTAATAATCAGTCCTTTTGTTTAATGAAACCTCCTTGTTTGCTGCATGAATAAAACTCAAATTTCATGGAATCGTGGAATGGTTCAGGTGGGAAGGGAGCTTAAAATGACCCAGTGGCACCCCTGCCAGAGGCAGGGACACCACCCACTATCCCAGAGTGCTCCAAGCTGTGTCCAGCCTGGCCAGGGACACTTCCAGGGATGCAGGGGCAGCCACAGCTGCTCTGGGAATTCCATCCCTCAGCCCACCCTCCCAGGGAACAATTCCTTCCCAACATCCCACCTAACCCTGCCCTCTGTCAGTCTGAAGCCATTCCTGGCACTCCAGACCTTAGTAAAGTCTCTGTTTTTCCTGTCACCCCTTCAGGTCCTGAAGGTGCAATTGGATCACCCCTGATCCTCTCCCAGCACGAGAGCTCCAAGCTGAGCTCCCAACATGAACAAGCAGCATTAAATCATTTCCCAATCATTCCCAAGCCACAGCAATCAGTCACCAAAGCACCTGTAAGCTCATCCTTAGTGCCAGCACTGCATCAGCCTCGGGGCTGTCTGGGGGCTCCCTGGCTGGGGTTTTCTTCAGGATGGATCTCAGCAGGGAGCTGCTCTGGGAGAGGTCACTGCTGGGAGTGCTCCCAGGGGCTCGGCTTGCACCCAGCATTGCCAGGCTCACATCCTCCACAGCCCCAGCCTTCCTCGTGCTGAGCTCTGGGACAGCATCACCAGTGGCACTGTGCTCACAGCTGGCAGCTTCAGGGCAAGCACACAGCTGTGACACTGAAGGGTTGAAGGAAAAGTGACACAACTTTAGTACTAGAAGCATGAGATTAAAAGCACACACGTCTCCACAGATCCTGTGCAGAAACACCCCATAAAAATCCACCAGTCTGTAAATTCTGCCACATTGTGCCACATGTACATTTGCTATTTTCAGCAATTTATAAAACATACTAAAAAGGAGCACTACATGGGTGGACAGTTACATTGGGTTTCTGCTGCATCCCAAATTGTAGGCAAGATGACAAATGTCAGCTGAAACATTTCCTGACAAATATTGAAGTATTTTTATTTCCTAATGAGCGTTTAACAAAGATTATAACAGTGCTGAATCCTCTTACCATGGCCTGTTTCCAGGGTATCTCCAGTGACAGCAGTGTCCAAGGATTTAACAGGATTTTGCTGCTCATAAACCCACTCCTAAAGAAAGAGTTACAGGATTTTTACAACTGCACAAACTATGGAGGGTTTTAATCCCACAGACAAGGATTTCAGAGTTTTCTCCATCATCCACTATTTCAGCTGAACTTATTTTCCCAAAACACCCAGAGAAATGCTTAGGAAAAAAATAATTAATTAAATGCTTAGCAAGATTAGACATGGCAAATGAAGAAATTGTCTGTTTTAATGTCTAACTTAGAGGTTTCTCCCCATTTCAAAGCACCTTTGCAGCAGCAGCAGGGTCAGGGACAGTCACAGCTTGCTGTGGGGACAGGATGCTGCAGGTCCTCAGCTCACTCCTGCTGCTCGTGCTCCCATTTTCTCTTAAGTTTTCTTTCAAAGCAGCTCCTCTGTGGCCCAACATGAGCTTTTCACTCCACTGCTCCAGGTTTGGCTCTGTTTTAAAAGGTGCCTGGCTCTGAGCTGCATCAATTAAAAATAAAACAGAACCCAAACAAATCAGAAACTTCACGTTTTTCAATGAATCCTCTTTTTGTGTTTCTCCGTCAAGAGGTGCAAAAAGTCAGGAAATGTTCTAGGCAGGGAGAAGAACACATTTTTTAGATGTACTTTGAACACAACATTATCAACCTTCACAACAAAATAAGTGACTATTTTCATATAAATGTTATTAAGATCAGCAATAACAGAGAAGTAAAATGAAAACCATTCTCTGTTTCATGGAAAAAAGTGCAAAAACGCTAATGCTCAGTGAGAAATCCATCAAAGAGTACAGATCTAGGAACTAAAACTAAGGAAAGAGACCCAAAAATATGAGTTTTCAGAGGAACCACTAATCAGGGTGCAATAAGATGTTTAACCAAACCTCAAACCAAGCACAAACACCCGTGCCAAGCCTAATAAAGGAAGATTATTTTGTATTATAAGAAGTATTTCATACTTTTTCATATTATAAGAAGTTTCATACTTTTAACCTAAGGGAAGAGCAGATATTTAAGGTCAATCACTGACCAGGATATTTAACCAACTTACAGGAACCTCCTTCCTGGGAAGGCTCCCCCTCAGCTTCCTGCAGGGATTCAAAGGAGGCTTGGAAAGCTCCAATCTTGTCCTTCAGCGACCTCACACTCGCAGGTTTAAAAGGACAGATCTGCCAAGACAAAATTAATCCCACCAGGCATGTCTTCCCCCACACTGCAGCTTTAATGCACTTGGACATAAAATACAAAGAATCTAGCATTTAATCTGGCTGCAATTATAGCTGTAAAAAGAAAAAAAAATAAGGAAAAGAGGAACTTTACCCAGAAATCTGGTGCATTTTATTGCATTTAATCTGTTCCTCTAGTCTAGAATTTGCTTTCTGACAGCCCAGGATAGTTCAAGTTATGGACAAATCTGATTAACCAAGTTACTCACCCTTGAAATTGACTTCACTTGGAAACAGCAACACTTTAATTACCCAAAAACCAAATGCAGCAAACACAGGAAAGCAACAAAAATTAAAATCTATCCGCAAGCTGAACATGGAGAAGAAATTCCAGCCTCTACACAGTGGAAACACAACCTGGAACATCCCCTTGTCCTGGGACAGCAGCAATTGATGCCATGGGTATCCCTTTTGCTGGATTCTTCCCAAGACTCACCTCCCCTTCTCCCAGCACAAGGTGGCTGCTGGAGGGAGTGGGATTCCCCACCAGATCTTTGGGAAGGACTCTCACCTGGGTGAAAGCTTCCTTCTGCCTGCTGCTCCTCTGCTGGGCCAGGTACCGGATCAGGGTGTTGTTCTCTGGTGATCCCCTCAATCCAATGGTTGATCTCCTCCTAAATTTCAGTGAAGTTGGGGAAGGCCCTGAAAAGGGGACAAGAGGAGAGGTTAAAAAGGAAAACAAAGCACAAAACCACAAAAATATTTTGTAATACCTACAGCTTTAAAACGGCAATTTTGTCTTTTTTAAGGTTAATTAATGCTACTTATTCTAAGACCCAGAATTACCTGCTCAGCCCAAGAAACCTCCCTGAGCACATCAAATAATCACAAACCAAGTCTGCCTTTCAGCTTTTCAATTGTTTGTTAGTGTGCACCAACACTTGCAGAATTTGCCTTGCAATTCCCTTGTGAAACCAAGGACACCTCATTAAGTGCAGAGAGATAAGCAGGGAGCACTGCACTGAGCAGGACAGAACCTGTGCAGTGAAATGCTGTCATTATCCCATATGTGGGATGTCCTATAAAGGTGTTGCAGCAAAAGCCTCTCAGAGGGTGCTCCTGGGCACACCCAAACTCTGATCACCTCAGTCTGCCCTAAATTGGAGCTTTTGGAACGAGCTTGGACTAAAGGAGCTGGAGAAGCCCCTCTGAGAAGGACAAAAGTCATTTGTCACCCCAGCCTCACCCGTGGGTCGTGTTCCAAAGCTCTGCTGAGCGATGCCACACTCAGCACTCATCACAGCAGCAAAGCCAACAGGTTTGTTCCTCTGTTCAGATAGTCCCAAATCAGCCTTTCCTTCTGCTTTGTCCCTCTCAGGAGTGCAGAAGTGATTTCCCAAGGGAGCAGCTCGGCTGCTGGGCAAACCCTCCTTGGAGTGCAAAGGCAAGGGGGGCTCACTGAGCACACCCCCCCCGAGGGCCCCAGGGAGCTGCCAGCCCACAGCAGCCCCCCGGGGGTGACACAAACCCTCTGTGGGGCTCTTCAGGGCACCTTTGGGTGACCGTGTCTGGTTCCCATCAGCGAAGTTCTCCTTTTTGGATGGTCTGATGACTTTGGATTTGGTCACTTGGCAGCTCTTCTGGGTTCCTGACAGAGGGAAAGAGGCCCCTTCCTTCTGTTCAGGACAACCACTCTCATTTTCTTTAACTTTCAGGGGAGATTTAGATCCTCTGAACATTGTTTGGGAATTATTTGAAGGAACATCCACTCAGCCTTTGCTGCTTTAATTACAGATTCCTATTAAAAAGAAAAAAATAAATTATTACTTGCTAAAAGCAAGAGCTCACTACCACGCTCCAGCTTCTTCCAAATCCACATTTTCCCCGGACAAGGTGTTTAATAGTGGGGTGGGAAGGGAAATTTATCCCCAAAAAGCTGCAGGAAAAGGACACAAGGGGCAGGGCCCAGAAAGAAAAACACAGAGCAATGAAAACCTGCATTATCAACGTGCACAGGAGTGGCTCAGGGTAAGGAGCCACAAGGCTGTGATTCCACTCTGTCAAACTGACATTAACATAAAATACGTGTATAAAATACAATAATCACACTGTATTTTATACAATAAACACTGCGGCTGTTTTGCTCCAAGTGCACAATAACTATCAGCAGTTTAATGCTACTTTTAATAACACTAATTAGTAGCAGCAGAAAGAGCATACAAGTCTTATAAAGAAATCAGCAGAAGAAACAACACTAGTAAAATGTATTATTTTAATTCCCACTGGCTTCTGAATAGAAACGTTAAAAGGTTAGGGATTTTTGCAGTTAGTTTCTTAAGTCACTGATGTACAGCTCAATACCGTGACTCTGAAACCCCCCTCTGCCAACACGCGCACTTTTAGAAACAAAATTACCCAAACCAACGTGCTTTACAACGCCTGGGCAACCTTTTTTCTTTCTTAATTTCCCTTTTTCTGCTCTCAAGCCCAGCGGAGGCCGATGGCTACAGTCACAGCCACCAGCCGAGGAGGGAAAGCTCCCAGCCCGGGGCTCCCTGGTCTGTACCGGCCCTGGGCACTCACACCCCGGGTACCCCGGACACCCCCGGTACCCCGAGCCCTCCCGAGCGCTCCCGTTCCTGCCCGGCCGCCCTCACCTGGGCCCGCGCCCGGCCCGCCTCACGCTTTCAAACCGCGCCACGCCCCTGCGGATCCCTCCGCGCCCCCGCCCCTTCGCCCATCCCCAGCGCCCGCCGCAGCCACCCCGGCCCCAGCAGCACCGCAGGGGGGGCGGATCGTGGGGGCGGCCCCTCACCGCTGTTCTGCCCCGGGGGTCCGCGGGGCTTGGCGGGGACAGGAGGGACTCTTTGGGGCGGCGGAGAGATCGCGGGCCGTTGGGCCGCAGCACCGCTTTGGTACGGGAGAAAAAATAAAATGATTAAATGAATTCATTCAACGGCCCGCGCGCACGTGACGGGCGGCAACCAATCACAGAGGGCTTATGCAAATATTGACGCTTCTTCTGGTCGCGATTGGCTGCCGTTCCGGCTTTGCCCCGCCTCCTCGCTGCCCATTGGGCAGATGCGCGGCGCAGCGCGGCGCTGATTGGCCGTGGGGCCTGCCCGTCAGCGCCCGCCCCTTCCGGGTGTCGGCGCGGCGGCGGGCGCAGCATGAGGCGGGTGACGCTGTTCGTCAACGGCAGCGCCCGCAACGGGAAGGTGAGGCCGGGCCGGGCCGGGGCCGCTCCCCGCGGGGCCCTGCCCGCCCGCTCCCCCTCCCTGGGAATCGCCACAGGCGGGGATTTGTCGCGGGTGGAGGCGCTGGGAGCCTCTAGCAGTCGCGTCCGGCTGCTGTGTCAGGCGCGGCTGTGGGATGAGGGCTCTGGGGGGAGGCGGACCCTGCCGCGCTGGGAATGATCGCGTTTAATGGATGAAAAGCTCGCTAAAATCGTCTCAAGACTGGAAATAGTGATTTTTAGGCCCAGGCAGAGGAAAAGGCCCCGGGATGCAGTTCCACAGAGAGTCCGTGATCTTGATGTTGCCATCCGCATTCTGAGTGTAGACGTTGATGTGACCGTGCTTTAACGTGTATTAATTATTAATTCTGTTAATTCTGCCCCGCTGTTTCCACCCGGGCCTGGAGTGCAGGGGTTCATGTGACAGCGTTTGAGCCTTGCAGTTGTGCTGAGCTGTGTCTGTGATCCCGATTTTCCATCCACAGCCTGGCTGCAGACAGCTCGTGTGCCTGTCCTTTAATCCTTGGGAAGTACATTTGGGAGAGGCTTGGGACAGAGCAGTGTTTGAGAGAAATAAACAACTCAATTATCTTCCTACAGCACCAATTATTCCCTCCCTGCTGTTGCAGTGAGGCTCGGTGGGAGCTGTGAAGTTTTTGTGTTCCAGCACCAAAGCTGCTCTTTTCCCTTCTTCCCTGGTCCAGATCCAAATGGATTTTGCTCCTCCTGATAGCCCTGATAAATCTGAAGTGGCAGATCTTTTGGAGCACGGTTGCCTGGGTTTGTTTTGATTCACAGCCTCCTCTCTTCTCTCCTCCCCCAGGTCGTGGCTGTGTATGGGACTCTCTCAGATTTGCTCTCTGTGGCCAGCAACAAGCTTGGGATAAAAGCCACCAGCGTTTACAACGGGAAAGGGGGGCTCATTGATGATATTGCTTTGATTAGGTGAGGATCAGCCAGGAAAAGGCCAATCAGGGCTGGGGACTAAGAGACTAACCTGTTAATCCTCCTTAATCCTTGCCCTAAAACCAGATGTGATCATTTCCAGCCAGGATGCCCAAAGGTCCTTTCATGTCTTTTTAACTTCAAGCCATTTATTGATTCAGAACTTGATACAAGCTGCATTTGAGGCCTTTTCACCTCCTCCTGTGTTGTTTCCAGGGCAGTGTTTGGGCATGAAATCCCCACTGTTTCAGTCAGCCCTGGAATGGGGGGTTTTCCATAAAGGAGACAAATTCTGGCAGTACTTTGGCTTCACAGAATAGTCCCAGACTGGGGAGAAAAGCAGCTATTTTGTAAGAATTAATTGATTACTCAAGTGGTCCCTACATAAAATCTCTGGTGAAGTCAGTCCATTCCAATCCAGTAGAACCTGCAAAATACAGATAAAAATCAGATACAGAAGTTCCAGCTAATGGCCACTGGTCATAACTTACCTGAAAGAATCAGGAGAGGTTCCACTGTCAGTTAGATGAGCAATAAATTATGATTAACCTTCTTTTTCTCTTCTCTCTGCCCCTTCCTGTCTCAGGGATGATGATGTTTTGTTTGTCTGTGAAGGGGAGCCCTTCATTGGTGAGTCTGTAATTCTTATCATTAACCTTTTATTTAATAGAGTTTATTTTGCCTTCTTATAAACTTAAGATTTTATTTTGTGGTGTTTTCAGAAGATACCTCTTTGTAATTAAAGAATATTAACAGTTTTTCCAGTAGTTACTTTCTTTGTTCTCTGCAGATCCTCAGACTGATGGGAGAGCTCAGGAGGAGCTGACAGGGTCCCACACAGACTGGCTGACTCTCAATGTGGGAGGCAGATATTTCACCACCACCCGGTAAAAATGGTCCTCAAAAACTTCATTTCAGTAAAGCAAAATACCTTAAAAAGTAACTTACTGTGAAGCAGGAGGTCTTTGACTCCTGCAGCTTTCTCTGTGCTTTGTATTTGCCACCAAAGTTTTGCAGGAAATTAATTCTTAAACATGTACAGATGAAGGAAGAGTAAAGCTGGGCTACTTTTGTTCTCTAGGAGCACTTTGGTTAACAAAGAACCTGACAGTATGTTGGCACACATGTTCAAAGACAAAGGTGAGTATGTTGAATTGAACTTTATTATTTTTAAGTAATAAATGAGCAAAGTAGGCAAAAGTCACTGTCAAGCTGAGGCTCTTGTTCATAAAGTAAAATATCCAAAGTATGTTAAAGTACCAGAGCAGAAGAGGGAATTATTTTTAAAACTTTATTTCTCTCTGTTTATCATCTCACCACCTAATGTTGATCATCTGTCTCACAAGCTGCAAATACAGCTCCCATCCATTGTGAGTGGTTTGGGTCCTTTGTTTGTTTATTTGATTGGAGGTTTTCATCTCCTTGCATCTTCCTCAGTTTTGTCAGCAGAGCCAGTGACCAAACTGCACAAGGCAGCCTTGGGGAGACAATCAGACTAAAATTTCAGTGCTGCTTTTATCCTAGCCAGGATTCTTTTGTATGTGATAAAAATTCAGTTATTCAGAACAGGAGCAAGTTCATTTTAAGCTGATTTTTCCCCCCCACTCCTCCTTTCCTTCCTTCTCTCTCCGAACCACCCTTCCAAGTGGAATGTTTGCTATTCCAGTCCCCTTTGGTAATAAAAACCTCTGAAAACTGAAGCAAATGCTCTTCTATTACTACATCAAATGTAATTATATATATATATATATGTTGTGGAAACAGATGCTTGGGGGAATAAGCAAGATCCTAGAGGAGCTTTCCTCATTGACCGCAGTCCCGAGTATTTTGAGCCCATTTTGAACTATTTGCGTCACGGACAGCTCATTGTAAATGATGGCATTAATTTGCTAGGTAGGTATTACCTGTCTGACATCTCCTGAATTACTCCTCCTTGGAATTAAAGCTTTGCCCGTGGTGAAGCCAGGGGGAGCTTTGTGTGCTCATCCCCGTGGTTGGGAGTTTTCCTTTGGTGGATTTGTTCTCAGCAGTGCAGCTCCATGTGCTTGCTTTAATGAGGATAGGCTGGTTGTTTCTCTTTGGAGCATTAAAAATCCATACTGGATTAATACCTGGAATTCTGCAGTTGATCTCTTTAACCTAGTGCTGGTGTTGGAAATGTTGTGTCTGAGTTATGTTTTTCCTTTTAGCTGCAAGCAAACTTTCTCTCTCCCCCAGTTACATCCAGTAGAATGTGTGTGTGTTCTCCAGTCAGGGGAGAGAAGGGTGCAGCAATTCCCTGGAATAACCAGCACTGCTTTGTTTGTAGGGGTTCTGGAAGAAGCCAGGTTTTTTGGGATCGACTCCCTCATTGAACACCTGGAAGTTGCTATTAAGGTACCTTGCTGTCTGTAAGCCCTGGATGCACGTCCTGCTGTGCCAGGGGGTGTGTAGCTCAGTGCTGTCCCTTTCCTCCTGTCCCAGAACTCGCAGCCAGCTGAGGATCACTCTCCCATCTCTCGGAAGGAGTTCGTCCGCTTCCTGCTGGCCACGCCCACCAAGTCCGAGCTGCGCTGCCAGGTGAGGGAGCTCAGCCTTTGTCTTGGCAACAGAACTCCAGGAATTGTTTCCCAACACCTGGTCCACCCCTGCCCTCTTGCAGTTTAAAACCACAGCCTGTTTTAGGGAAATACCCAAATCTTGAGAGCTTTGTGTTTACATTTCATGGTGTTATGGAATAGAGTTAATGATCTTGTGAGTGTATGTTTGTATAGGACCATGGAATGGTTTGGGGTTGAAGGGACCTTAAGGATAATCTTGTTCCAGTCTGCCATGGGCAGGGACACCTTCCACTGTCCCAGGCTGCTCCAGCCTGGCCTTGGATGCTTCCAGGGATGGGGCAGCCCCAGCTCCTCTGGCAATTCCATCCCAGCCCCTCCCCACCCTCACAGGGATGAATCTCTTCCCAATATCCCACCTAAACCTGATCTCCAAATTGCCCCTTGTCCTGGAGTTCTCTGTCCATATAAAAAGTCTCTCCCATCTTTTTATCAGCCCCTTTAGGTACTGGAAGTGTTTCAGTACATCTGTTTATCTGCATAGATTTATACACACAACTACCCAGACGTGTTCCTTTTAATTCTTTTGCATCCAGACCTCCCCCTTCCCCTCTGTGACCGTTTTGGGGATGTTCACTGGCTTTTCCAGGGTCTGAATTTCAGTGGAGCTGACCTTTCCCGCCTGGATCTTCGCTACATCAACTTCAAGATGGCCAACCTGAGCCGCTGCAACCTGGCCCATGCCAACCTGTGCTGTGCCAACCTGGAGAGAGCTGACCTCTCTGGATCTGTGCTGGATGTAAGCGTGCCCTGCACTTGTCTCAAGGAACAGGAATTGGAGCAAAAAAATCAAGTTTCCCAAGTTGTTTTTTTTCACAGTGCTGCCACACTTCCTCACAGTAATGGGGGTTTGCTTTGGGGGGTGCAGTTGCAATGCAGAACTGAAATCTGTGTTCTGCTGATTTCTGGTGTTCATCTTGGCACCCTCGTGACTCTCATCCTGTCTCTGCCAGTGTGCAAACCTGCAGGGGGTGAAGATGTTGTGTTCCAACGCAGAGGGAGCATCCCTGAAAGGCTGCAACTTTGAAGATCCATCAGGCCTTAAAGCTAATTTGGAAGGTAAGTTTTTGCCTGTTAATTTTTCCCTGGAATCAGCCCTGTGCCTGTACATTTATGTGGCAAAAGTTCAGCTGTGTTTGTACAGTCTGTGGGAAGAGCCCACAACTCTGGGCTGGTTCTGCCAAATAATCATGGAATTCCCAGTTCTGCCTTGGCCTCTCCCAGTTCACCCAGCTCTTGGGAAGCATCTCCTGGAGCTGCTGCATTTCTGGGTGTGTTGCAGGTGCCAACCTGAAGGGTGTGGACATGGAGGGCAGTCAGATGACCGGGATTAACCTGCGGGTGGCCACGCTGAAAAACGCCAAACTCAAGAACTGCAACCTGCGAGGAGCCACGCTGGCAGGGACTGACCTGGAGGTGACTTAGCATTCATTTCCCACACACAAATGTAAATGTATGTATGTGGACAAAAAGATGGTGACTTGGGGGATTGCTGGCTTTTCTCCAGCTGCAAAGTTACCTGGAGTTAAGGGAAGTGGAGTTAAACTTTTGAACAATGTTCTGTCTTTATTCAGTTAACATTATTTTCCCTTTCCCCCTTCAGAATTGTGATCTGTCAGGTTGTGACCTACAAGAAGCAAATTTGAGAGGATCTAACGTGAAAGGAGCCATCTTTGAGGAGATGCTGACACCCCTGCACATGTCCCAGAGTGTCAGATAGGGGCCAGAACACGCTGAAGAGGAAGGAATCCAAACATTCATCGTGACTTGCTTCACCTCCTCCCCTTCCTGAGTTAAAGTCATGGTTATTAGCCACCTTACATTTGCAGTAGTGCCTAGGTAAACTCTTTTTGATCACTTTTGGGGAGGGAATTTTTGTTTTCAGAGGTACCAGCAGAGAGTTTGTACCTCTGTGAGCAGAGTGGGGAAGTGAGCTGGTGCTGGAATCAGAGAGTGTGGCTGGTTTTGGGGGGGAAAGGTTCAATGGTTTCATTGTTTAGCATTGCCTCACTTTGGAATGCATTTTAATTTATAAAGCACAATATATGCAATTCTATTTATTAAATCTGTAGCTGCAATATGAATAGAAAATGTTACTCCTGTACAGTAGCAACCAAGTTGAGGTTTACAGGTGTATTTCCAGTCTGGATCCATGCCAGGGGTGGCTCGGTGTCCCCAGGGGCTGCTCAGGTCTCTGCTGGGGTGGAAGCTGATGGGAACATCCCTGCTCAGAAACTGGATATCTTTAATTAATCCTCTCCAAATGAGTGTGGAGGTGCGCTGTCAGTCACAGCTGGTGACAAAAATCCTTCTTTCACATGTCCTGACCACTCCAGGCTGGAGTTCCTGCAGTGTTTTCACCCTTGGTGGTGAATTCAATGCAGAGAGGAAAGTGCAGAGCTGGCACCAAAGCAGAGAGAGGCAGAGGGGCTCCAGCTCGTGCTCTGCCCTCCCCTCATGACCTCAGCAGGTGAATCTTTCCCTGTTTCCCCTCCATGTACTATGCAAAGACTCCCTGAAAGCTCCCTGGGCATCGTCCTTTTCCCAGCTGGGTCTTCCTCTTCTGTTTGGGCTGCTTCAGGTGGCTGTAAAAGGCCCCTGCATGGCCTCCCACACCTGCTGTGCCTGTGCAGAGAGCAGCTGGAGCTGCCTGTGTGGGGAGTTGTGCAGGGCAGAGGCCTCAGCACCCCTGGTGTGGATAAGGAGCTGCTTCCCTGTAGGATCCACGGAGTTCTCAGCTCACACCACCTTTATTTTACACACAATCAAAAAGCACATGAAGAAACTATACCAAAAAAAAAAGAAAAAAGGTGCATCAAGAACTTACCTCAGATGCTTGAACCACCCCAAAGTTAAAACTAACCTTGAATTTAAGGAAATCAAGCTGTTACTGTAGAAATACAAAGGAGGAATAAGAACCAGTGGATCCCAGCTGGAGTCCCACAGGAGCTGGAGTTCCACAGTTCTTCAGGGGGTTGTCTCTCCCTTGCAGTGCAATTTCTGTCGTCTTGTCTCAGTTGTTGTTACAAAAATGCTGCTTTGCCACCAGTCTGGGAGGATCAGAGATGGTTGAGGGTCAGCAAAGGATGTGTTTGGGAACTGCAGGATTCTCCCTCCTTTTCAAGTTCCTTTGACTCAGGCAAGTCACTGAGTGACTGAGTGAACTTTCAAGGCTCAAAATCCCCGAGCCACGAGGTTCAGAATTGGGATTATTTCCTGCAGATCCCTCTGGATCAAGCTCTAGGACAACACTATATCCTTGGAGAAATGATCTGTAGATTCCAGGGAAATGTTACAGTGTGACTTTGGAGTCCTTTCTCACACCTCATGGCTTTCAGTGGGAATGTTGTGTCTGTTGCAGTAGAAGATTCCTAGGGCTAGAGAAACAAATGAATTATTTTTCTTTATCATATTTTGTAGCTGGCAGAAGTAAACTATTGTATGGAAAAATATATATATATATATATCTCTATTTTCGTAATCACTGTGTATAAAATCTCTTTGAACTTTCACTGAAGCACTATGGAATAATCACAGCATGTGGCACCATCATTCACAGCTGGATTTCAGGTACCTCTTTTGCCAGGACAGAGCTGTGTGAAGAGCCCTGTGCAGAATTTGCAGGTTCCAGCTAATTTAAGTTGCATTAATAAAAAGCGTGAAAGAAAAAAAGTGGCTTGGTTGTCTTCATTTTAATAAAAAACCCCAAATCTTACCTGCTTTGTGTGAGAAGAACAAGAATTTTTTAGTTTTAAGTATAAAATACCTGTTGGAAAAACAACTGTGCTTGTGGGGGTTCCGAGCCATTTGCAGGGGATTGGTTTTGCTTTGTCATTCCTCTCCAAGACTTCTCAGCCTTTTTGTCCCCACCCTTCATATTTGTTTAATAAAACAGTTGGAGGCAGAATAGTCAGAGAACCGTGGAATATCCTGAGCTGGAAGGGACCCAAGGATCATAGGAGTCCAATTCCTGTGGAGAACAAGTTGTTCAGAGCAGGCTCCTCAGAGCCAGGGTGAGGCGGTGAAGGAGCTGCAGTGGCTGGGCTGAGCTCGCTTTGGATGTCCAGCTCTGCTTTCTAAACGAGCTCATTTTTGCGAGGCTCATCAGGGAGGGAAGGAGGCTTCAGACACAGGGCAGTCCCTGGGGGCTCCAGGTGCCCTCCAGAGGAGCAGGAACGTTTCTGCTCTGAAGCCAGCTGTTCCCAGCTGGAGCCCGGCTGGCTGCCCTGGGGCAGCGAGAGTGACTCTGCCTCGGCTGGCTGCCCCGCCGGGAGCGGGAGGAGCCCTGGGGCAGCGAGAGTGACTCTGCCAAGAGTCACCAAATCCTCCCTGAATTAGTCACTTCTTAAATTACTTTAATCCGTTAAAGCTCCACCAGACATTCGGGTGGCACAGAACAGTGCACAGCAAGGCAGAGTGGGGAAAATACAATTTCTGCAGTCAAAAATACGGAATTGAACTCCTGCGTGCAAATAAATCTTTATAAACCTGCAGTGCACAAACTCTCGAGATTGAAAAATAGGGAATCATGGAATGGTTTGGCTTGGAAGAGGCCTTAAGGATCATTTCCATCAATTCCATCCCTAACACCTTCCACTGTCCCAGGCTGCTCCCAGCTCTGTCCAGCCTGGCCTTGGGCACTGCCAGGGCTCCAGGGCAGCCACAGCTGCTCTGGGAACTCCATCCCAGCCCCTCCCTACCCTCAGAGAAAGGAATTTGTTCTAATATAAACCCAAATCTATTTCTTCCTGACCTAAACCTTCTCTGTTGTCAGTTTAAACCCATTCCCCCTTGTCCCTGTCAGTCCAGGCCCTTCTAAAAAGGATTTGGGGATCTATTCACACCAGGGACTCCATTGTGCCACCGAAGCACATTTACAATCATAGACTCCAGTCTATCCAGTTTAATCCCACCTGGCATTTTACAGAGCAAAGAACACCAAGGCACCTGAAGTTAAATATTAAGGAGGAGGATTTCAAACTGCTCTGGGCACCTGTGCAACCACAGGCTCCTGTTTGAGCCCTGAAGGGTTGTTTCCTTCATGCCTGATATAAATGAAGATGGGCTTGAGGTATTGCCTGGATCACATTCCCCATCCCTGGCAGTGTCCAAGTCCAGGCTGGATGGGGCTTGGAGCACCCTGGGCCAGGGGAAGGTGTCTGTGCCCATGGCAGGGGTGGAAATAGATGAATTAAAGGTCTTTTCCAACCCAAAACGTTCCAGGATTCTTAAAGACTGAGCTCAATTCCTCACCCATTTCACACCCTCAACAAATTCAGACTCACCCAAGAACTTTTACTGAAGGAACAGAACTCACTGACAGAAAAGCTCCTGCATTTCCCAGCAGGATCATCTGGATCCCAAAGTGGGATTTACAACCTCGCAAAAGCAAAGCTGTTACTTTTATGACTTTTAGAGAAAAGAGCTGAATTTAATTGCTGCACCGGGGTGTCCCAATTATGGGCTTTACTTGTACTGCATGACAGCCCTGTAACAGTAACACCAAAATTGCAGCCTGGGAGGGAGAGGTGGAGGAAGTCTCCTGCTGGGAATGGGGTGGCACTGGGGTTCTTGGGTATAAAAGTGAGCTGAGAGCACATTTACAGGCATTTTCCAGAGGAGAAGAGCTGGAGTTACTCCACAACCTCTCAGGCAGCAGGTAATGTGCTGGAACAACATCCCACATTCCCTTTTTATTTATCCAGTGCTTACAGTTGCTCCTATTTAAAAAAAAAAAAAATATTAGAAGAGACTGCAAAGGGCAGTTTTTAAGGAGCAGGGACATCAGAGCAGAAACCAGCTGAACACATCTGCCAAACACCGCCAGGGAATGCAACCTTTGAGGCCCACACATGCTGGAACTCAGAAATCCTAATTTAGATCTTCATCCAAATTTTTCAGATGTCCAATCTCTTTCAAGTGAGCTAATCCACACTTTGAGAGGCTGCAAATCCAGCTGGGGCTCCTGCCCAGGAGGTGCAGGTCAGAACTGGAGCAGGCACAGGGTGGGATTTTTGGGCTGTCAGTGCAGAGCCAGGAGCTGGAATTCCATCCCCCTTGGGAATCCCTCCCAGCTCATCACATTCCATGCTGCAGTGACCCAGAAATGCCTCATTTCCAGCCCTCTGCAGGGTACAAATGCCTTTCTGCAATGCCTTTCTGCCCAGCCAGGTGCTGTTTTGTCTCTCCAGGATGGAGCAGTCCCGGAGGATGGTGGCTGGAGTCCTGCTGTGCCTGCTGGCCCTGGGGCTGTGCCCGGCCCAGCACTGGTCCTACGGCCTCCAGCCAGGGGGCAAGAGGAGCGCCCAGGTCCTGCTGGGACCATTCCAGGAGGTGGGAAACAACGCTGGCCTGCAGAAAATGCAGCCAAAAAGGTGGCAAAGGCTTCCCTCTACACCCGTGTCTGTCCCCCAAACACCCTGAGATCTGGGGACAAACACAGTGGTTGAAGCAGGATTTGGAAAATAAGGGGCGAGGTGACATTTGTCAGCCTGGCACAAAGAACAGCACGTTGTAGCTGGCAGGAGTAAAACTATTGTGTGGAGGGAAAAAAAATTCATAATCACTGTGTGTAAAGTCTCTTTGAACTGTCACTGGAGCTCTATGGAATAATTTGGGCAGCCAGCTCCAAGGGAGAGATGGAGCTCTGAGGTCCAGGGTAAATCTGATTTCATCCTCTCCATAAATTCCAACATTCTGATGGATTATTTTATGACAATTCCTCCACTTCCCTTAACATTTTGGCAATTTGCACATGGTGGATGCTCAGCAGTGAAATGAGTGGAAGGTTGTGTCCAGCAGTGGTTTCCCCTCTTTGCCAATCAATGCTTCATGTCGAGTTCCTCCTCATTTCAGCATCCTGGGGCTCGTGAGGGAAAGGTGAATTTCAGGAGTGCAGTGGAACACTCCACCACACAATTTCAGTTGTGGAGTTTTGCCTCCATCTGTAAGTGGGGTAGAGCTGCTTTTGGCAGAAACACCTCCCTTCTCCCATCCTGAGGGTTGTGTCACTTCCTTGTGTCACTTTCCCAATCCAGATTCCAAATGAAATGGAAAAATTAGAGGAGATGCAGCAGAGTGAGTGCCCAGGCTCGCAGCAGAACTCCAGGATCAGGGATCTGAAGGAAGCCATGGTGAGTAATGTGGTTTTTCTGTCATCACTATGGGAAAATTTAAAGAAGATGCATGAGGAGAGGGGAAAAAAGGTGGTGGAGGAGGAAGAGGGAGTAAAGTTTAGCTCACATGAGGAAATACCAGCTCTGCCCTTCTTATGGAATCCCAGGATGGTTTGGGCTGGAAGGGACCTAAAATCCACCTTGTCCCATGGGCAGGGACACCTCCCACTGGACCAAAATTACCTGCAGAGGTCCCTGACTGTCACCTGCACCCTTCCCAGGACAGGGATCCATCATTCCAAAGCTCCCCTTGTATCAGTGACATTTCCTGCCTGAGCTAACCCAGACCAAGCCCAGCTCTCCCTGGCTTCCTGCAAAGCCACAGCACCCCTGTCTTGTACCAGGGCTGTCCCTGTCCCAGGGCTGTCCCTGTCCTGTCCCAGTCCCTATCTCTGTCCCTGTCCCAGGGCTGTCCCTGTCCCTGTCCTGTCCCAGGGCTGTCCCCGTCCCAGGGCTGTCCCTGTCTTGTCCCAGGGCTGTCCCTATCTCTGTCCCTGTCCCTATCTCTGTCCCTGTCCCTATCTCTGTCCCTGTCCCTATCTCTGTCCCTGTCCCAGGGCTGTCCCTGTCCCTGTCCTGTCCCAGGGCTGTCCCTGCTGCTCCCAGGTGGCAGCTGCTGCTCCCAGGGTCCCCAGGCTGGGCACTGCATTTGCAGGAGCTGCTGCACAGCACAGAGCTCACAGCTGGGAGCACTGACACGCACTGAGCCTTCTCAGGCAGAAATGGGCTTTTTCATCAACCCAGCAACACCCTGATGGGCCCAGATGGGCACCACGTCCTGGGAAGTGTCCCTGGGCCATCCCAAAAGCCCAATCTCTACTTCAAAGTCAAAGCCAAACCCCAAAACTTGGAGTGCTTGAAAGCCTCTCCAGGCTCACCGAGGAGCCAGGCCTGGAAAAGGCTCATAAAATCAGGAACAGTAATGCAGAGCCTGCATTCCACTGCATTTCATGCAGAAACTACCTAGATAAATATGATTTTAGCTCATCTTTAATCCCATTTGTCCTGAACGTGCATTGGAATTGTGGCCCATGACTTCCAGCAGCACTGCCTGCACAGTGAAGAGCCAGCAGCAGTAATTTACTATAGCTGAGTATTTTTTTTACTGCAAGAGATGATGTTAGGCAGGAAAACACACCAGAATAATTACCAGGATATTTGAAATGAGTCCTTTCTGGCTCACTTGGCCTGTCTTGGCAGAGCTGAATGGACCAAACCCCAGCAGATCCTGAGGTTTGCTCAGGAACTTCTCGTTTCTTGCTGCTTAATAACACTGAAAACAAATGAGCTTTTCCCACACCCAGCTTTTCCAACCCAACACATTCCTGGTGTTGCTAAAGGAATATTAAACAGGGGAAAAAAAGGGGAGTGGCTGGAAATGTTCCACCCCATGGAAAAACTCCAATTATCATCATTTCCTGGGGAAGGTGGGAGGGAGCACCAAATTCCCCCTCCCTGAGGCACTTCAGGGAACGAAGCCCCAGATATTCACCCAGCTCATCTCCATCCAAACCACCCCAGGGCTTCACCTCCGTGCTATTTTAGCACCTGAAAATTCCATCCTCAAAGTCATTTCTGCTCTTTAAACCTGGAATTTGGTGTGTGGTTACAGGAGAGGCTGGTGGAGGGAGAAGGCAGAAGAAAGAAGGTTTAAAAATTTCCAAAGTGAAACGGAGCCACAGAGCCAGAGTGAGGTTTCAAAACTGTGTTAAAAGACATTCCTCCTCAAATGGTCATTGTTTGGATCAATATGTGAATAAATATTCTGAAATTGCATTAAAACAGTGGAAAATTGTTGTAGATTATTGGTTTATGCAGAAGAGAACACATCCCAGTCCAGAGTGGGAGCAGCAGAGAAGGGTCTGCTTTGAGTCCTGCAGGGACAATTTGGATGTGACAACTTTTGTTTCACGTGTCCAGACAAAACCTTGGCCTCATCTCACTCCCCTCTGGGTAAAACAGCAAGGAAACTTTGATAAAAGAATAAACTCTTTTGGAATTAACTCTCCCCTGTCCACCAGTGGTCCGTGGAAGAAAGACTTTTACTGCTCTTCTTTCTGGTTCAGTCATAAAATCTACATTTATTTTAAAAATCTATTTACAAACTTTACAACAATCATTACATTTTAAAAACCCACAAAAATGTGTACACCTTGCTTTACAGGTTTAGTGAATCATGTGGCATTCACCCAGAGAGCTGCAGTCCCTTCCCAAAGCTCCTGCTCTCTGCAGAACCACCTTAAAGCTGTATTTTTTACTGATTCAGTTGCAAAGAACTGAAAAAAAACCCAAACATGGTATTTGCAGTCTGCAAAAGCGGGTTTGCACTGAAACCACCAATCCAGGATCCCAGAACACACAAGAACTCCTTCCACAACACCCAAATCCTCCTGAATCACAACAAACGTGTCCCAGGGTTTAGAGTGATTAAACCTTTATAACACCACAGTGAGAAAAAATATTCAAATGTACATTGGGGTGAACTTTGGAGCTGCTGAGGCCCTTCCACCTCTGCCTAAAAATACAAACCAGCACCACATGGACCTGAAAATTAGATTTACACCTCCTTTGAGTAAACTCTGTAGTGCCCAAACTGTCCTAAAAGTGCTTTAATTAATGTTCAGAAAGAAAAATCAGGTGAACCTGGTGCTTTTGAACACCATAAAATCACATTATTTGTTTATTTTTCCTCCCTGCTGTAGTCTTTGGAAAAGCTTACCCTGGTCCACCACAGGATTTGGTCTGCAACAGTAAAAATAAGGTCAAGTTTTTAATTAAAATAAAAATAATCAAAAGAAGGTAGCAGAAGCAGGTCAGGAATGTTTTCACTATACAAAAAAAATCAGTTAAATTACAGATTTAAAGTTATTACTTCCATTTACAAGGGTAAAAATAAATAAGGAGAGGAAAATCTGGGGCGTCGTCACTGCAAGTGCAACTCGGTGTGAGTCTGGAGAAAGCCTGGGCTGGGGCAGGGACCTGATGGGATGCAGCAGCCCCAGCAGCCCTGCACATCCATCCTGGGGCTCTGTGCCACTGCAGACCACAGAGCTGCTCTCCCTGGAATCCGTGTCCTTTCCTAATCCAAGGATCCACAGAAAGGCAAAGCTGCTGCTCCCCTCTGCCCCTGGTGTGGATTAGAGCCTGTCACATTTTTAAAGGAATTTATCACAGCACGACAGATTTTAATTAAAAGCTCCAGAAAACAAGTGTTGAGCACATTTCTCCAAAGGAGAAAAACTGAAATCCTCAAAGACTTGAAATTTCACAGCAGTTTTGAAGAGCTTGGCTCTGAAACGGGATCAGGTTTTGTCTCCTCTGCAGAGCGGATGTTTTAACTTTGAGATTTTATTCAAAACCACGAATTGGGCAGAAATTGCTGACATTTGTGGTGTGCAGAGATCATCATTATGGACTGTCCTATTCCCATTTTAAACCCTTCAGCTGAATACACATTAGAGGCATTTCCTAAAGCACCCAATTAACCTGAAGAGATGATTCTTGTTTAGAAAAACAAGGTAGAGACACCTTAAATTGCCTCTGAAAATGAAATCTCACAACTCAAGTCAGGCAGGTACCCAAGCAAAGAGCAAACACTTCACAAAATCACGGTTCTGGTGAGATTCCTCCCAAGAGTGGGCACTTAAATCCATTACTTAAAATCAGGGGAATGCCCTGTTCTTCCTCACACTCAAATACCCAATTGCCTTTAGAAATCTGACACTTGGATTATTTTTTTCCCCCCAAAACTGACCCAAAGCCCGGAATCATTTGGGCACAGAACAGAAATTCCATCCTGCACCTCTGAGCCAGCGATGCCAACTTCCATCAGCCAGGTAAGAGAACTGGACACCAGTCTGGGGACACTGCCAAAAGGAGCAGGAGTGGGGCAAGTTCACAAACTCTAGAACATAAATATTGTTGAGAAGGGAAAAAAAAAACCAAAAACAAAAACCAAAGAACCAAATTTAGAGCCCCTTCTGGCAAATTTGCCAGTGAAAATACCCAAAATGCCCTGGAAAGGGAAAACTTGTTCTGAACTCTTTAGTGTCACTGCCCCTCTCCTCCCAGTTCAGAGGGTGCCCATCCCAGTGCCCACCTGGGCAGGCTCAGGGAGGGAGAGGAGAAGCCTGAACTCGTGAGCAGCAAACCCAGGTGAGGTTTATGGTGAGAGGAGCAATTCCAAGGCAGAGCAGAGCTGAAGGTGGCAGCTGCACTGCCCAAGGAAGGGAAGGAAGGGAGGGATAATTCACCACCAATGTGCCAAAGATTCTGCTCAAAATCCTGGTCTGTAACTGCAAAAAATGCAGCCAGAGCCAAATGTCCCCGATTAAAAGAGAAAAAAGCTGGTTGAAGATCAGCTGAAAAACTCTTTCCAAGGTCATACCTCCTCCTGAGTGTTTTCTGCATGGAGTTTTCCTTCTCCAGGAAAAAAACCTGGATGCAATAGGCACCTCCGTATGTTAATGTTGTTAAAGCAGAACAAAAAGGCTGGAAAAGAGGACTCCAAAGTCACTTAGAACCAGAACACCCAAACCTGACAGCTCAGTCTGTTTGCCCACACCAGAGAAACCATTCCTGGGATCCCTCCTCTGCTCCTGCTGATCCACTCAAGGAGTTAAACCCAACCTGCCTGAAGAGCACCCAGGACTGAGGGCAGAGGCAGCTGCAGAGTGGGGAAAGGCACTGAATTAACAATAGGTGCTGTTGAGATGCACTTCAGACAACTCAGACCACATCCTTTGTTCTGCCTGAAGCAGAATTCTCAGCCCAGACACAAAGCTGCTTTTGAAGGAAACTTTGAGAGGATCCCGGGCTGTGTGAGCACAGCAGGGAGGGAGAGTGCACAGAAAATGGAAAGGCAAGAAAACCCAGTGGCTTTCAAGTCAAGCAGTGTCTGTGTCCAAGAACACAAGGAGGAGCTGACACGTCCCACAGTGCCCCAGAGAGGGGCAAAGCTGCCCAGGGTGTCCAGGGAGAGTCCCCAGATCTCCCCTGAGAAGCAGCAGCCCGGAGACAGCTGGAAGTGAGTGCGGCAATCCGGCTGGGGATGGATGGGATGTGACTGCAGTGCCACCTCCAGAGCAGCTCCAAGCTGGAGCTGATGGGAATCTGGGATGACTCTGGGATGAGGGCAATCTGCTTTCAGAGCTGGGCAGGCAGCACAGCAGCTCCTGCAGTCACACCGATGTCAAAAGAATTGGGAAGGACAAAAGAAAATGACAACTTCAGTCTGAGCAAAACCCTCCTGGGGGTGGTTTTTGTTGGGTTGGGTTTTGTTTTCCCTGAGAAAGCCTTTGCTGAGGAAACTTTTCATTAGGTTTAACAAACTTTGGTTTTTCAGTAAGGTCAGAAACCCATTTCAGTCAGCGGAGCACAGTAATGGCCCGTGAGCCCCCAGCCCAACAGTAATTGCATTTCCTGCTGTGAGCAACACCCTCAGCAGGGTTTTAGTGGCTCTTCCCAACTTCTACAAGATAATCAGAAGCAAAAGGACAGAATGAACAACCAAAATTACTTCCTGGAAGAGAAAGCAAAATCTTCATCAATATTGATGATAAATAAACAGGCCACAAGCTGCTTATGGAACTGGTACCAGTAAAGCTCTGGTATCAGTGCAGCTGGTACCAGGCCAGCTCTGGTATCAGTGCAGCTGGTACCAGGCCAGCCCTGGTATCAGTGCAGCTGGTACCAGGCCAGCCCTGGTATCAGTGCAGCTGGTACCAGTCCAGTTCTGGTATCAGTGCAGCTGGTACCAGGCCAGTTCTGGCCAAAGTGCAGCTTCTGTCATCTCAGACATTCATGGAAGGGATTTTTTCCACCCCATTAAAAAGCACAAAATGAGATCTTGTACCAAACCAAGCACAAGCTGGGCAGAGAGCCTGACCCAGGAAACTGCACTGCCCTGCAGTGACATCACCAGTGAGACCAGCCAGGACTCCCAGTTACACTGGGATTGCAGCAGTGACAAACTTGGGACAGACAAGACCAGGAGAGTGAAGAATTCCAGCAGGGAGACGTCGGGATTAGGGTGCCAGCGCCGCACAGGCAAACACACGGGAGGGAGCCCAGTCCCAGCCACGTCTCCTTTGTGGCACTTCCTAGGAAAAGGTGGACAGGTATTTCCCAGGGGAAGAGCTGGAGTGGCAGGGGCGATCCCCAGGCTGGCTGGAGGTGAAGCAGCCACTGCAGGCTGGCGTTGCTGTGACCCCAAACGCTCAGGGCAGCCCCGGCTCCGAGGACACCACGCTGGATTTCCTGGCTTTGGGGGGTGGAGGGGGAGGCTTGGCCTCACGCCTGCTGGGCAGCGGTGGAGCAACCTGAGGAGATGGAAACACAAAATCAAACCTTTGCTGGCGAGTGGAGGGCGTTGTGCTTCACCAAATGAGAAACCCAGAAGGCCGTGATGGCTCTTCCAGGAGCAAACCTTGGAGCTCAGCCTCAGCTCCGTGGGACAGGGCCAAACAAGGACAGGTCCCCAGGAGACAGCAGAAGCTGAAATGTTTTAGCTGCTAGAGCAGGCCTAGGATAGACTTTAATTGCTTCTGACCTAAAGCCCAGCTCCCTCCTTTTGGTCATCAGTAAAATAGCAACAAACCCATTTCCTTCCAGGTTTCAAAATTCAGCTTTTTTCTCCTGCTGGCTGGCTGAACTGCCCCAAAAGGATGTAAAATGTGTTCAAATCAGAATGCAAAACTCTACACCCTAACATGGAAGCAAGGGCAGCTGTAATTAAACAAGCCACATCCTGCCTGCCTGCAGAGGGGCTGGGAGGT